CAAACTCTCTTACCGTGCCGTATCTAGCTAGCTAGCTACCAGTAGCACATGTAGCCTACCGGTAGCCCTCCCCCGTAGACCAGATGCCTCTAGCTAGCTCTGTGGCCAAGGAGGCTCTCTGCTATGCAATACCACCCTCCTTTGAACGCTTTCTTCGCCAGAAGCAACGTTACCTAGATTCTACTTGAAGCAACTTTACCTAGATTCTACTGAATTCTCCTTGGATACGCCTTTGACTGAACTTGCTACCGTAGGTCCAGGCAGGTCTACAAAAACTCCTACTAGCTAGTACAGTGTCCCAGGAGCGCTTTGATGTACTGGTACGGGTACTAATAAGCAACACATCATGAGCACTATGACCTGTGTGAAACTTTGACCTGTATCAAAACACTTTTTGTGTTGTTGTTGTCACCGAATAAAGTATCAAACACTCATGCATTCTGGATCTGACACCTTGACACCCTTGATGATGAACTGTTGCCCGTTGCCCGGATTGACACAATGAATAAAGGTACATGTGGAAGCGTCCGGGTGGATGGAGCAAGCACAGCAAGCACACGCATTCACACGAGGTCGGTGGTACTAGTAGACTAGTACGGTACCCGCCACTTCTAGACAATCACCCGGCGAGGTGAGAAGGGACACGAGAAGAAATGACATAGTTTTAGTTTTTGTCTTTCAATAGGCATGTTTTGACAGTGTTCGAGTTGCTAACCAAAAATATTATTTCGGGTTGTGGACTGGCATGGTTTGCTTGAAGCACGGATCTTTTTGCAAGGTGGGGTTCACGTGAGGATGTACCACACCACAACATGAGTTAGTCGTCACGCCTATAGTTTTTTAGTACTTTGTAGTTGGCGGTGTTGTAATAACATTGGTCGACATGGGTCTTTGGTACCACGACCATCTCCTTTGATTTTAAGATACGGTACCGGTACCGGTACCTATTGAAGCCATGGAACCTTCAATCGATTTCATTGAATTCTGGCAACAACAGATAGTTAATTATCCTGCTAGCTACCTGGTAGCTATAACTGCATGTTATTGATTTGACTTGATTTGACTAGAGAAGAACCAAGGTATCCACAGGACGGATCAATTGAGTGCCTTTCAAAATTGGGAATCTTTCATTATCATCCTTCCGCTACGGTACTCTTCAAACATTATTAACACTGACATACATCTAGATAGACACCGGTACCATCAGGTAAAGTGCTTTTGCTGTTAGTAGTGGCATGTCTCGAAGAAATTTCCGACAAAGCGTTGTTTGCTTTGCCTTACCTCTACCGGTACTGGTATGGAGTACACCCCTCCCGGTTGTGCCGCTAACACCTTGATCCCCTTGGACTCTCCGGTAATACCGGTACATGTACCAGTACTACAGTAGTATCTTCCTCCAGTTCAACAATACTAATGTGGATATCTAAACCATAAGGTAACATGGCAGCCGAAGACACTTATCTCCAAATCTTCCCTCTTTAAATATTTTCTTAGTTTGCTCCTGGCTTGCTTTGTTATTGAATTTTGAGAGCTTGCTGCTTCCAGTACGAGAGGCCACGAAGGTAACGAGGAACTTTCCTTGGGTTGTTGTTAACAACCCACGCAAAACGAAACGACGGGCTGAGTGGTTTTTGGTAGCTAGCTAGTCTCTCCCTCATCTCTTTTTGGTTTGTGTGTTCTTTCGTTCCTTCTTTCTTTCCTTGTGTTGGTACTATTATTCACACAAGTAAAAGGGAGTGTTGTTGGCTGAGAGTGAGGAAAGGAAGTGCGAGGAGATTGGAGGAACTCTGATAAGATTCCACTTTTAGGTTCTCTCACATCTCTCGCGACCAAAGGGTTCTTCTCTGACAACCATTTGGTGCTGAGCTCCACCCATCGACCATCCTTTCCGTCTACTACCTACAACAGGGGGTTCTGTGTGTTTCTGTGTGTGTTTCTCATGACAGTGGTTGCTCTATCATAACAACAACACTTCCTTCATAACCAAGAAAACAATTCTCCAGCATCGTTCGTCTGCTACCTGCCCTTATTCCCGAAGTCTCTCTCTTTTTCAATAATTTCACCTCTACTCTAATCTACCCAACCCAACCTACCCATCATCCCATCACCATGCAAGCCAACTACCACCCCAGCACTGGATGGATGCCTCCTCCAGGCTACTCGCATCATCCCCATTCCGTGACGCTGAGCCCCACGTCTTGGTCGGATCCCGAGAGTCGTCAGGAGTCTCCTGGTTCGGCCAAGACGCTCAATAAGACAGCACAGAGTCCGTACATGACAGACCCCAAGAAGAATGCCGACTATGTGTACGCTTCGCCACAACAGACACACCGGCCCGTCTTTTACCCCAGCAGTGCAGGAAGTCAGCCGCAGAGACTGCCCTTTCCACCCCACAATAACAATAATGGCTACTACCCACAACAGTACTTGGCGTCTCCTCAGGCGGTCTACGATGATCCGAATGCTGCGGGACGAAAGGACCACAAGGACAACATGTCGCTCTTTCCAGGGAGTACTACTGGTACTGCTGCCAGTAGTAGTACTACCAATCCTTCCTACAGTTCGTGGATTGAGCAGCAGCAGCAGCAACAGTCGCCTACCAACAACAACAACAAGCACCAAGGGATGGATCCACTCCATCAGTCCCATTCGTCTCTCTCCATGGCGTCTCCGGTACCGCAACGGAGTATTTGGTCGTCCACAGCGGACAACAATGGCAACAACAACCACCACAGACAGCAGCACCACCAAAAGTTGGGTCCTCCTACCGTCTATCAACCGCCCAGTAGTAGCGAAGACGCGAACGACCTGCAGGGAATGGCCCGTCTCTCCTTGATCAGTACCAGTTCGTCCTCTGTGACACGAAGCTCCTCCAATCGAGACAGCAATACCAGCTCGACGAGCAGCTATCATTCCAATAATAATAACCTGCCGGGATTGGTACAAGCCAGCTCCGAGTCGACGGCCAGTCTCCCGACATTGTATCCGAACAATAGTAGCAACAGCAACACTACTACTACTACTACCAGCGATGGAGCAGACGATGCAACCAATGTGTTGCAATCGTCGTTGCGATCCTTTTTGGATGAAGAAGACGACAACTACTATACTGGGTCCCCCTCGGCCGACCGACCCGTCGTTATTCCACCTGGATTTGGATCGCCGTCACAGCCGCCTCGTGCTGGTTCTGGTTCGTCCTACAAAATGGGAAATCCCAACACGAGACGCAATCGAAATCGCAACAAGTTGCGACAACAGAAAAAGGTCGAACAGCAACGACCCAAGGCGCTCAAGGAACGAAACACTTTTGGAAATGAAACAACAACGCTGGAACCGCTCTTTGAAAAGCCCGATCTGCCTCCGTTGGGAGGATCTTCCTTGCAGAGGGCCGTGCACCGCAACAGTGCAACTGGCAGTGGCGTTGGTAACGAGTCGCTTCGTCTCCTCATGGGAGATGAATCGGCATCGGAACACAATTGTATGGATTCGTCCTTTAACAGCATGATGCATGGATCTTCGGCATCGTTACGGTTGACGTCTCCCATGGTCAGTCCACGAACACCACACAACAAGCAACCACCCATTCTCCCGCAACAGCTACCCGTGCCACCACTGCCCTTTGACTTTTCCTTGTCCAACATGTATCCACAAGACAACAACACGAACGCAAACAGTGAAGATGACGAGGATGCGATTCTCATGCAGCACATTTTGGCCAGTGAACAACGCGCCGCCGAAGATGGTACTGGTGGTACCAATACTACCGAAGTACAACTATCACCCGAAGAATTGTTGGACGATTTGTCGCCCACGTCCTTGGGGAAAAAGAGAGAATGGTTGTTGCGCATGAACAAGAAAATTCAAGAAGTGCCAGTCGGAGAACTGGATCCTTCGGCAGTGCCCATTAGTGCCATTATGAATGCATGGGCCAAAACCAAGTCGGCACAAGGAGCGTCCATGGTCGAAATGTGGCTCAAACGAGCGCAACAAGAGTACAGTGCCGGGAATCACCGTATTGTCCCTACCACCAAAATGTATACCATGGCAGGTAAGCAAAAAAGGAATTGATGGTCTTGCTTTTGTTATTTATTTGTTGTCAGAGGATTCTCACCGAATTGTTTGTTTTCGTTTTCGTTTCTTGCTGGTTAGTGGATGCTTGGGCTCGAAGTGGCGAACGAGGTGCTGCTGCCAATCGCGCCGAAGACTTGTTGCATCATATGAATTCGCTTTATCAATCAGGCGAGCACGACAAGCTCAAGCCGACAACTGGTATCTTCAATGCGGTCATCAATGCATGGGCCCGATCTCGAGAAAAGATTGCTCCGGTGCGAGCAGAACAAATCCTTTCTTGGATGGAGAACTTTCAGGACTTGGACATTCAACCCGACAAGTACACTTACAACACGGTCATCCATGCTTGGGCCAAGGCAGGTGGTACTGAAGCGGCCACAAAGGCCCAGCAGCTTTTATCTAGCATGGACAAGAAGTATCACGAAGGAAACCTCATGGCCAAGCCCGATACGATCACGTACAACGTCGTGATCAATGCATGGGCAAAGAGTGGAGGACGCGGGGCTGCCCTCGAAGCCGAAAAGCTGCTTTCCAAAATGCATAAACTCCACGAAATGGGCGACACGGATGTCAAACCAAGTGTGGTCACATACGGTGCTGTTATTGACGCCTACGCCAAGAGTGGCGAAAAGGGCTCTGCTGCCAGGGCGGACACGCTTTTGGCGCACATGATTCAGCTCCACCAATCTGATCCTATCAAGCACGCTGACATGCTCCCGAATACATACGTTTTCAACACTGTCATCAATTGCTGGGCCAAGAGCAAGGAGCATGATGCCGCCTCCAAGGCTGAAGAGATGCTTGTGGCCATGAGTCGTCTCCATGCCTCCGGTATTCCCAACTTGAAACCGGACGCATTTACCTACACTGCCGTCATCGATGTGAGTTTGTGCATTGTTGGTCATCGGTTGTTCGTGTACCATCTTCGTGAGCTGACTCGATTCATTCTGTTCTTTTCTCTTTAGGCTTGGGCCAAGAGCGGTTATCGAGGTGCTGCGTCTCGTGCTGACCAGTTGTTGGACAAAATGGAAGCTAAATACCTTGCTGGTGATGCCGACTTGAAGCCCAACACGTTCACGTACAACGCTGTCATCAATGCGCTTGCCAAGAGTGGTGAGGTTGGGGCTGCTGCTCGCGCAGAGCGTGTGCTCCAGAATATGGTTAATCGCTACAGATCTGCCGGCAGTGACGATGTGAAGCCCACAACGATCAACTTCAATGTAAGAGACCGATGTTGAGGGAACTTCAGAGGTTGTTAAGTCCCGCAAACTTCTTACCTGTCTTCTTCTGCGTGCCTAGACCGTTCTGGATGCCTGGGCCAAGAGTGGAGGCGGGCGTGCCGCTGCGGAACGCGCTGAGGAGATTCTGGAGTGGATGGACCGCCTCTACAAGGGAGGAAACCCTGATGTGAAACCTGACACCATTACATTCAACGCTGTGCTGGATGCTTGGGCGAGGTCTGGTGACAGGGTGGCCCCACACCGCGCAGAGCAGATTCTCGATCACATGGATGACTTGTACCGTGCAGGCAACAGAGGAGTCAAGCCTGACACTTACACCTACAACACTCTGGTATGTATTGATTAGGTCTCAAAGCTTTGTCAGATGCCAGGATGTTTTCTCAACTGTTTGCTTCAATTCCAACGTCTTCCTCAGATCAACGCTTGGGCCAAGTCTGGGGGCAGAGGTGCCGCCGCCAGAGCGGAACACGTCTTGTCCGTCATGCACAAGCGCTACAAAGATGGCGACAGCGACTTCAAGCCCAATACCAGGACACACACGAGTGTCATTGATGCATGGGCGAAGTCCGGCGAAAAGGGCGCCGCCAGAAGAGCCGAACAAATATTGAACAACATGATCTCTCACTACGAAGCAACCGGTGATTCAGACGTAAAGCCGAATGTTCACACAGCAAATGCTGTCTGCAACGCTTGCGCTTTCACCAAGATGGACGAAGACCGTGCTGAAGCAATGCAAATTGCCTTCCGTGTCTTCGACTGGCTGTCCTCGCAGCCAGATATGAGTCCCGACTCATACACTTACACCATCCTATTGTCGGTTTGTGCCAACCTAATTCCAAAAGAAGACAGCCATACCAGGTATATGCATGCAAGGGCATTCTTTGACAACTGTCGAGAAGCAGGACACGTGAACGATTACGTGTTGCGCAAGCTTCGTCAGACGGTTACTGAGGATGAATACCTTGGGCTCGTTGACTATCGAATGGATACGTCAGCAGCGTGCATGCCTGCCTCCTGGACTCGCAATGCCAAGATCAACAACCACGCGAAGGGGAGGAAAGGTGGCTGGAACAACAACCGTCGCAGAGGAAAATGAGAATCGAATCGTCTTTCATGTCTTTATACTACTTTCATCATTCAAACAAGCAAACAACGCTTACTATTCATATACTCGTACAGAATTCAAAACAACAAACAGAGAACATCATTCTGCTTTTCAGGAAACCAAACAAAAACACAAATCCAGAATTTCATACAAAGGAGCAAAGTTAAAGCAATAACGCATACAAGCATTACAAGGCAATTGAGTTAGTTTTACTGTTTGCTTTTCAGTCCACGCGGAGAAGCCGCTGAGACGCCTCGTCTCTTTCGGAATACAGCACGGTACACCCAGGTGGCCACTGCAACTAGCAGCGTGAAACCCAGAGCCGATTGCCGTGGAGAAGCGAGCTACGCGTACTGCTACTTGGTACCAGTACCACCGTAGCCAGTTTCGTTTTTAGAGCAGTGGTACCGGTAGCTTTTTGTAGACTATTTTATGCTAGTAAATCTTTCTCCTTCGCGTCAAGGATAGCTGAGCATCGAGTGATTAGCCACAGGACAGATTTCAGGGATTTGTTGTAGGCGTTTCTGTTGAAAGACGCAGCCGTAGGCTCCGACTCTGGTTTCCAACGTGCCCATGCGTAGGCAAAGACCATCCTGCACACATCCAAGAAAGCTACTTCGTACTGCTCTTGGAGTAGTTTCCTTGGGAAGATTGTCTCCACATCTTCAACTGTGCTCGCGACGCCGTACTTGACAAAAGCATCAGCCAAGGAAGCGTGATAGTGATCCAGGAGCTCCTTTTCTTTCTGCCCGTCGTGCGAGACACAGTGCGGTTGCAGGGCCGCAGAGATGAAATGAGCTACGTCAGTTGCAGCCAGGCCAAATCCGCACCATTGAAAGTCTATGAATCCGACCTGGAGCTCTTCTTCGGCTCCCTTCCGAAAGAAGAGGTTCGCTTGCTTTGGATCCCCGTGAATCATGGTTCGATACTTCTGAAGGTCGGCCGTGTCTTTCTTTGCCAGTTCGGCAAAAGGATGCGCCCTCGTCCCCACGATCTTTGCAAGTTTTTCCACTCGGGCTCCGAGATGCTCCAAATCCACTCCTTCCAATTCAGCAACTGCACTCAGATCGTCTTTGAAGGTTGGTAGCCTGTTGGTCCATCCAACCGCCACTTTCTCGAGTTGCCCGTATCCTTGCAAAGCAGGTTGCATGTAGCCTCCATTGGGCCAAACTACTTCCTCCAGTTCCTGCCCAACCTTGCCACCTTCCTTCTTCCAAAAATTTGATCCAGTCCAGAAGTAGGCATGCATATTGGCAAGTGCTTTCAGTACGGCCCGGCACGACTTTTCTTCCAGAAGCCATTCATGATACCATCCGTCCTTTTCGTTGAAATCTTCCAACGTCATGCTGAACCTGCTTTCCAACTGTTGTCGTGGGCTTGTTGCATTTGGTGGAATCTCTTTGGAGGATCCATAGCAGTCGCAAACATGGACTCCGGCTTCATGGATGAGCCCTTCCTGACATGCCCTGCTGTCGAGAAAGTTTGTTTCCACTTGGTAGGAATGTACGTCTCTTGTCACTGCGACGGCGTAACACAAAGTGAGTCAACTACAAGTGCTCTGTTGTCAGTTCCCACAACGTTCCGTCCTGCACTTACCCTTGTGCGGGGCCGAGGCAAGCTTTGCCCTGGCATGAGCCAAATCGCTCATGACAACCCTCTTGTAAAAAACGGTAGAGGGCGGCGATTTACAGTTGCTGCTGCCAGCATCATCTGTAGACGCCCAATCCAGGACAAGGCGAGCTCCATTGGACATGAGCCCCCGCACAGCATCTGATTCGGGAACTGCAAAGCCTTTCAACGTCCATTTCTTATTTCCCTCCTCCTGATGCTGCAATATGTGCTCTTCCAACCAAGTTCGAGTCAACGGGTGGCCGTCAATGTCGCGACTGATATCGATCGCTTGAGCCCCAGTAGTTCCGGGAATCGTTCCAAAGCAAGGCTCTAGAATTTTCTGTACCGATTCGAAATCCGCCCTCATACGTGCGCAGAGAGCATCGTGGACAGCCTCCATGCCGCTGGCAGACGCAACGACACCCCATCGATTCCCGTAGTCATATCGTTTGTCGTCTTTGTGTACAAGGGGAGAACCAAACATGTCGGTGATTTTGCCGCCCATGGCATTTAGCACTGCCTGAGGGGAACAAGTATCCCAGTAGCACGTTTTGAAATGAAGCACTGCAATACTCCGTTCTTGTTGTGCTACAGCCACAAGTTTGGATGCCGTTCCTCCCAACAGGGCGTGGATTGGTTCTTTCTTATTCTCATCAAGAGAGGCAGCCAATTTCAATGCCAACTGTGTTGCATTTAGGAGCACTGGATCATTGGAGTCGCCTGTAAAGACTGTGATTCCCAGGTCATCACCAGTTTTGCCAGCAGTCGAGCTTGTCGTTGTCGATGGATAGGTACCCTGATGACTAATTTCTGCAATATCATCATCCATGTGGATGGCATACAGAGTTTTTGCGTTGGGGGAAGAAATGCCGGTGGGGAACGGCAACCCCACAGCTCCCATGATGGATTTTCCATGGCGGGCGACTCCAATCAAGCAAGCCACATTTTGCACTCTTCCCTCGACAAATTCTCGGGTCCCATCCAGTGGATCGACAAAGAGCGTCACTTCTTGGATGGGTACAAGCGTTTTGCTGGACAAGTCTGCTGCTAGTAAATTGGTGCGTAAGGGTTCCAGCGACGACAAAATAGAAGATGCCGGATCTTCATTGTCGTCTTCCTCTCCCACAATATGCAACTGGTCACCCCACAACTGTCGCAGTCCATTCACAATGACATTTTGGGCATCGATATCGGCTTGTGTCACTACCGACTTGATCTCTCCAGCCTCCTTGAGTTCTCCGGTGAGTGTGGCATTGGATTGTTTGTATTTTCGAATGACATCACAGCCCTGAATGCTAGCGTCGATACACGAGGACAAGAGCTCTTCCAAACTGATCAATTTGTCCGTGGAAGAAGCGCTGTCACGACTGTGGGACATGGTGGTCAACAATGTAGTAGAATGAGTGGCTCTCAGCCGTCCGATGCCGAAGAAACGATTTTTTGGCAAAATATGAAACGAAGCTGACAGCGAGAAGCAGAGGAAGAGTCTTAGAGAGCCGAGCAGGAACTGAGCTTTTCTACCCATCTTTCCTCAGGCTGATCCCTGAGGTTTCCTTCAATCTAAACTCAACCGAAGTGACGGGAAGCAGAGAGTGGACAGTCCTCATCGTCATCCATCCTTCATCGATCTTCGCACAAAGATCCAACCTGTAGAACGCTAACCCTAAACGAAAGTCGATCAAAGATCGTCGGCAATGACGAAGCGGAGTTGCGGGAATACCTGTTTTTCATGTTCATAAAGCAGTCCCAACTGTTTTCTTTTGGAAGAATGACTGAAAACAGAAGAATGACGTAATCTGGAAGAATGACACAATCTGGAAGAATGACACAATCTGGAAGGTTCTACGTAAAAACACGTAGAAATTAGTACCAGGTGACGTAATCTGGAAGAATGACACAATCTGGAAGCATGACTCAAAATAGAAGATTAACACAAGTTGCTGGCGACCAACAAAAAGGAACCGCTGCAAGAGCTGATTCCCCGCAACTCCAGCGGCCGGAAGATGCCAACGCTCACGCTGATGCGCGAGAGAAGAAGCAAGCAAAAAGCTAACGGATACATGAATCGAATCGGGCACAAAGATGGGCAATGACACAAAAGAGAGGAAGATGCGAACGCTCCTCTGAATGTGAACAAAGAGCTTCCTTGGCTGTAAAAAAATCAATTATCATAAAATGCTTCATTCTCTATTGTTCTGTGCACAGTGGACAAAACTCGCATTTTTCTTTTTGCTTCACTTTTTGCTTTCAATTCGTTCGTTCATCCGTCAAGCAAAACGGTACATAATCCCGATCATTCTCAAATCTCAAGCAAAAGTGGGCATCGCGGAGCCAAACACACAGCTGAAAAGAGGTCCAAAGGTTGTTGGCTGCACGCCTTGCTTGCTTGCTTATAATTGCGGTCCGTACTGAGTGTAGTCCACAGATCCCTTGCCTTCGTACTTCTTGAAGTTCTCCACGTACATGGACGCCAGCTTTTGGGCGGTCTCGTCGTACTTCTCGGGGTGGGCCCAGGTGGACTTGATGTCCAAGAGTGCTGGGTCGACACCCTCCAAAGCCTTGGGCACATCAAATCCAAAGATTGGGTCGGGGGCAAACTCGGCATCGTTAATGGATCCATTCATAATGGCATCAATGCAAGATCGAGTGGCCTTGATGGACATGCGCGATCCTTCGCCGTATGGACCTCCAGCCCAACCAGAGTTGACCAAGAATACCTGACTTCCGTAGGTCTCCATCTTTTCCTTGAGCAAATCAGCGTAGACAGTGGGGTGCAAGGTCATGAAAGCAGCACCAAAGCAGGTACTGAAAGTGGCCACTGGTTCTGTGATTCCACGCTCTGTTCCGGCGACCTTGGCCGTGTATCCAGACAAGAAGTGGTACATGGCTTGACCCGAGCTCAGGCGAGCCACGGGAGGAAGGACACCAAAGGCATCGCAACTGAGGAAAATAACGTTGTTGGGGTGTCCAGCAACTTGTTCCTTGTGCTGTTATTTGAAAAGAAAGAAATGGAGACAACAATATGAGAATTCAACTGCACTGCCTTTTATTAGAAAGAGCTTTGGCTGCCATTATTGCACTTACGTAGTTGGGAATGTGGAAGATTGGGTAGGACACACGTCCATTCTCGGTCTTGGTGGTATCAAAGTAGTCGGGTGTTCCGTCGTCCAAAATCTTGACATTCTCCAACAAGGCATCCGTGTGGATTGCTCGGTAGATATCAGGCTCGGTCTTCTCGGTCAGATCAATGGTCTTGGCATAGCAACCTCCCTCAAAGTTGAAGACACCCTTGTCGTCCCATCCATGTTCGTCATCACCAATCAAAGCACGGTGGGGGTCAGCTGACAAGGTGGTCTTTCCAGTTCCACTGAGACCAAAGAACTATAAAATTGAGGAGGAGGAATAAACGCGGGTAAGTGTGAGAACAGAACATCTTTTGTGTTAATTAACACCAGGTGTTGCTGCGAAAAACTTACCAGAGCCACATCTCCATCCTTTCCAACATTGGCAGAGCAATGCATGGGGAACATTGGCTTTTCAGCCATGGGCAACAAGTAGTTCATCAAACTGAAGATACCCTTCTTGTTTTCTCCTCCATACCAGGTGCCAAAAATGACGGCGGTCTTCTTTTCAATATTGAAGACCACGGCAGTCTCTGAGTTGAGGCCATGTCGTTCCCAGTCTTCATCCACTTGAGAGCAGCAGTTGATGACGGTAAAGTCAGGATCAAAGCCGTCCAATTCACTTTCTTCTTCGGGTCGGATGAACATGTTGGATACGAAATGCTGTTGCCAAGCCATTTCATGGACAAAGCGGACCTTGAGGCGAGAGGAATCCTTGCGAGCTCCACAGTATCCATCAAAGACATATGCCTTTTCCTTGGTGTTGAAATGAGCCACAGCCTTGTCATAGAGCTCATCAAAGACTTCAGGCGAGGTGGGCATGTTAATATTGTTCCAGTCAATATTTTCGGCAGACTTGCTTCCAGGGTTCAAGACAATCCAGCGGTCCTTGGGACTGCGACCTGAAATTCGGAACAACAATAGAGATAAAGAACAAGTGGGTGAGATAAGGAAGAAGGTTGACAGGACAATCATTTCTTCCTATTCTTTTTGTAATTTCCATACCTGTGTATTTTCCAGTATCCACCACAAATGTGTCTCCATATTCAGCATGGGCGACAACACCCTCTCCATTCTTTTGTTCATGCTCATACAATTGCTGGTAGGTCATGTTGCGGTACAATGTGGATGGGTTGGTGATTCCAAGTTTATCCAAGCCAGTTTTCAAGCAGGCATCCGTGCCTTCAACCGTGCGAGAAACATCATATGCATCTCGTCCAGTGTGGTCAAAATCGACAGCTTGGGTGGACTTGTACGCAACTTGTTGTTGAGCGCAAAAGTTGGTGGGCTAAGCAGCAGCAACAGAAGAACAAGGTGAGTTTCGTCATTTTTCGGAAGAGTCATTGCCGATCCTGCTGGATGAATGGATGCTTGTGAATTGATTTTATTGGTCGGATGATGATCAGAAACTTACGATTGAAGATGATGAAGCCAAGACGGAAGGAGCAAAACGAGCAGTGCTCAATGCAGCTCCTCGAAGGGCGGTTTTTCCTCCATTTCGGGCGACGGCACGGGCCAAGTGGCGGACAGTGTTTGCGGAAAACATGGTGGGGTTATTACAATATCTTCCTTGTTGATGTATCTATTCTGTTTTATGAATGGATTGGATTCGGTGAGTTGGGTTTTGTGGCCAATCAGTGAGGCAAGGTGATGGGAATCGTTGCTTGGCGCTTCGTTCTGGACACAAAAGAGAATCGAATCCATTCTCGTGCCCTTGGGTGTCAAAACCAATCCCTGTTTGTACCAATGGGATGCAAGCACAAAAGGATGTTGCGAACCCCGTTTCAGATAACAAGAAGCCGTATCTTTTGCCTGGCTTCTCATGTAAAGGGGGATCCAAAAGGGGTCACCCCCAAAGGCTTGAGACATGTGTCACTCAACTGCCTGGGGTGACGATCTGGGAGTTGATGACAATGACGACCAAGCGTCAACAAAAAGTTGAGTGTGATCGCGAGTTGATGTGATCGTGGCATTCAAAATGTCAATGACAGGCTTTCTCCATCTTCCACCAGGAGGACAGTTAGTTTTGGTTGGCTTTCTATCTACTACTACAGGCAGTATACTACTATCCGGTCACCGTCCTCGAATGCCCGGCTGAGGGGCTTTTGGTTGGCTGCTTGCTTTGACTAGTTGGGTGTTAGCTGTTCGTTAGTCACATCGTTGCACACCTACGACCGAAAAGGGGGTGATGCCAAGCTAGCGCTCGGAGCGATAGAGAAGCCTATCAGCGGTGTAATACCGGCAGACGAAGTAGCAGCAATGAAAGCAGTACGGTAGGAATGGCTTAACTAATGATTCTTCTTGGGTTTGTCTGCTGTTCGGCTTGAGATACCGGTACTATTACTCGCAAGTGTTCCCATTGCACATGCAGAGGCAGGCCAGCCGCAGCATAGCTTCTTTGAAGAGACAGGTTGGAAGAGCTACAGATATTGACGTACATGTAGGCATACTTTTCAACCGGCCATGGCTACACAATTTTTATTCGTAGGTCTCTCAACAAACATCCCGTCAACTACCTGGTGCCACCGGTAGCTACCGTAGCCAGCTACTAGTACCTGCCATGCATAGTACCACGGACCTACCCATCTACTCAGCAAACTTATTCCTGTAGTGTTGCTTCTTCGTTGCAGGTCGTCAGTGACAATTAAGGGTGCACAAACTGCTCCCACAGAACAAGGAAGGAACTGATGTTACGCTCAATCATTGATCACTCCAATGATGGACGTCAGTGACCCGCCTGTCTTCAATCTTCTCTTCTGGCTTCGCATGCATCTTTAGTCGAGTCACGAGAAACAGGGACTTACCAGTACCAACTGTGTTTTTTTATTAAAAAAAACCACGGTGACACGCGACTTCTTTTTTGTTCTCACGCGACCTTACGGTACCGGTACAGTCGTAGGCGAGAACAACAACGAAACGGCACAGCCACCACAATCACACGGCACCGAAGCCTCATAATTCACGCGTCGTGTACAACAAAAGGTACAATACCGTACCGGTACTAGCTAGCTAGAGAGATCCGCTATTGGTACATATCTTCCTCGACATCATGTCTGCGGCAGTGGCAGCTCCGTCTAAAGTGGTCGAACAGGTAACTCCAGGCGTCATTGAAAAGGTCGATATGGAGGAGGAGGCAAAGGAAGAGGCACCCGAAAGAGCAAAGATAGAGGAAGCAATTTCGTCGAGCGACGACAGCGCTAAAACCAAGATCCGCTTCGGCTTGATTCGCATCCGTACCTACGCCACAATCATTGGAGACAATCCCAGCCCATCCATGGGTCCTCCCATTCAGATGGACTGGAAACCTCTGGAACAAAAGGTCCTTTGCGTGGATGAATACGAAGAACATCGCGAACCACGACGAGAAAACTTTTTGCTCGCGGGCGGAACACGTGCGGCGCTCCTCAAGGATTTGGGCTTTACAGCGGCTCAAATTGAAGAGGCAGTGTTGACCGCGAGGACCGTCAGAAGTCTCCGAAGACAGACTGTCAACAATCTACGGTGGGACTGGAAGGAGGAAAAGAAGGAAGAACGACAGGATTACATCCGCAGAGTCTTTTTTTGTCGACCTGAAAAGGTCCTGGAGTATCCCGATGTGCGAGTGCAGAAAGACGAATACTGGGATGAGACGAACAAGGTCAAGCCAATGTTTGACCACATTCCTTGTACGCACTGCTCCTCCTTTGTTTGCGCTGGACCGGCTTCGGACTTTCCTGCCATGGTGTGGATGTTGAGATGCGACGGCAAACAATGCCAGACAATGGACAAAGGGGATGCGACTTGCCCTTTTACTGGAAAGCCAAAAGCCGAATTGATGAAGGAGTTCCTGGAATATGAAAGCAAATACACAAGTACCGATGTTTGAGTAAATTATAGACAATTCCCATGTAGTCATACAGTTTACATTTATTTTGTCGTTCTCGCAGGAGGGGTTGTGTCAATGTTACATGTATGTCTAGGGAGCATTCAAATAGACAGAAATACAAGTTTTCTTTACGCACGCGGCGGAGCGACACTTTTGGCATGAAGGATCTTGCAGTACAATAAGCGACACGAATTCGAATGAAGAGTTGCATACAACGCGGGAAGAACTTGTTACGAAAACTCATTAACGCACAGCCAGTATCAACCGCCTCTGGCTTTCCCAACCATCTCGATCTGTCCTTGTGTCGTCAAGTCTCAGTGGCATCACCACCATCAACGGTGGACCTGCTGGCAGACTGCCTTTATTTCCCAGTAGGCATACAGTAGCGTCCCCTCAACTGCTGCACTTAGTGAAAATTACTTCTTGGAAGAGCATGCAGCATTGCAAAGAATCGAATCGAATCAAATCGAATCGATCGAGTCTCAGTCTTGCTCTTGACTCATTTTGGGTTTCTTTGTGTGTAGCGTGTGATTGAATCGAATCGATCGATTAGAATCTTCAATGGAATCGAATCTACCGGTAACTAATCTACAGTTAACGCTCGCTTATATTTATAATCTTATATTTATTCGCTCTATAATATTTATTATATCTCGAGTTCCCCCCCCAGTCACGAGTGACCGTGAATGACGTCAGTACACCCTTCGCAAATCTCGTAGCAGCAAAACAATCGCTCGCAATCCATCGCAAACGGTCCAATTCGACAGAGACATACGTGTAAATGCCAATGCATGCCAATGCATGCCGATGAGGTGCCGATGGGAGTTCGCTTGCCTGTCCATTCTCTGCCAGTCCGCGCAAATCTTCGTTCGTGGGGTTTTTCATGGTGTTTTCGCGAGATTTGCGCAGAATGGCAGAGAGGAGACAAAAACAATTCTCTGAGCAACAAAACAAGTGCAAGCAAACCATAACAATTCCTCCAATCCGACCTAGACCAACATGAACGGCGCCAACATGAACGGCGCCGATTCAACCGCAACGAAGAAGAAAGGAGCGAAGAGGGGACCGAAGCTGAAGAGGCGCTCAATAAGCTGTCCGAAAGTGCCTCCAGCTTGGGTATCAACCAAGCTGCTACTGTGCATCTTGATAGGTTTGCCAGAGCCTTGAATATGGCCAGGGCGACAAGGGCTGGCAAACGCAAACGTGATGGCACTCTCCACTCGTTCTTTACTAGTGGTTAGTAGCAGTAACGCTCTATATTTAGACACACTGTTATATTTACTGGATTCCTGAATCCCCCCCTGGACCGTCCGACGGTTTTCAATCAGGATTTAAAAAACTTGAAATTGCCACGACTGATAACCGTTTTTAAACAATCCCTTAAACAATCCCTTAACTCATCAACAATCCCTTAAACAATCCCTTAAAAAAACAATCCCTTAACATCAATCCCTTAAATATTGGACTATCCCTTAAACAATCCCTTAACGCCAAATGGAAATACCATACAACTATCCCTTATTGCTTCAAATATCCCTAAAACAATCCCTTATCAAACAATCCCTTAACCAACAATCCCTTAAATCTGCAACAATCCCTTAAACAATCCCTTAACAAACAATCCCTTAAACAATCCCTTACACTTCTGAGTGAGTCGTGTCGGTTTTTAAAGCCTGAGTGAAAACCGTCGAACGGTCCTGTATATATATCTGAATGTTGACTGTACAGTATGCATGTAATCATGATGTAATCAAATGGTTTGATAGAATTTACCACGTTTCAGTGATCCTGGCAAATGGCTTACGGTCTTACGGTACCCTTACTACCGGTACTAGATGTACTCGGAGTATTAATAGTACCGGTAGCTATAGTACCGGTAGTACCGCTATCTAGAACACATACTTAGAGTTATACTACTTTTAAAAGTACACTTACAGTACAAAGATAGTAGATAGTAGATGCTCCCGAACTACTTTATTTAATTCAAAGGGTTCGGTCCCCACAGCCAAAAAGAAAGCTTTCAGCTTTCATTTAAATTTCCTCCCAACTGAGAGTATCTGAAGTAGCTTACCCCACCTTTCTTAACCACCTGTTTTTTTGTTTTGACGATTTCTGGAAGGAGATCAGGTGGTTGAGGTAACAATCCATCATTCCGAGTTGATTTGAGGCATTCTTCTGATTTCTGATGAGACTCATCAACAAGATCTGTTGATTTATTTGATTTGAAAACAAGTGTCATTATGAGAGCATATTCTTACAGCATCCTAACGTGTTTGTGGTACTGTTTGTTGATAGTAAAGTACCCCTCGAGACTCAATTTAAGCCTTTACATCAACTCTAACCTCAACTGTGAATACAACAGTACATTCGTTTGTCGCGTCTGCAATGAGCTTACATGTCACGTGAAGTCACTTTTTATTAAATCCTCTCGAAACCAATGGTGCCCCTGTGCCCCTCCAACCCTTCACATGCTTCAATTCTCGGTTCTATAAATCTCGCTGGCTTCTTTTCAGTCCTGGCAGACTTGGGAATGTTCCGGGCTCGGCTGAGTGTACCGGTACCAGTACACACTTTTAGTAAAGGGAAGTAAAACCCACATGGAAGAAAGGGTGTCACGAAAGAAAATGGTGAAATGGTACCGTACCAGTCGCTCGTACTTTTTGAGTAACTGTTGTTTGAGGAAACCAAGCCTAATAATCACCATCGCATTTTTGCGACTGCGAACCCTCCCTTCTCTGTTCCTGGGTGACTTCTACGGGAACCCTAACCCTCCCTCTGGTACTGCAGCCCTGTGGGGCTCCCCCCTGGGTTTCCGGCAAACATTCCCAAACATGCCTCCTCTAACTGCCAGTACTAATAGGGACTGGCCTGAGCAGCTCAAATCAGTCCCTAGTTACCGGTTGGCTCCTTTGCCGCCATGCCTGGCTCTGAGAGCATGGTGGCCCCCCCTGACAGTAACAAATAAGTGCACCGGAGCATTCAAAAATGAACCACCAGGCCTGTTGTTGCTGCCATGGTGGCATGGTAGTGCTGCTGCCATCATAGTGTCTTTATTGAGATAATTAACCAAGCTTTCTTGCTGTCATCCATAGTATTAGTAGAAGATGAGTGGTCTTCCTGATCTTGCCAGAGCTAGGGAGAAAACGCTGCTGCTAGCGAGCTAACGGATAGTATCCCCCAAATTCTGGTTGACGACA